TCAAAGCTACAAATCTAATCCAGTTGGCCTGGCATTCTTTCCAGAATTTCTCTGGGATAATGTGGACAGACAAGCTAAACATCTATGGCTGTAGGACATTAATAAGGATTGCAGATATCACATACCCATATATAACCCTAAAAATCAGCTCTGGCAATGTCCCATATCACACAGGCAAAAATAAAAGAACCATCAGGTCATACTGCCGGTCCTATCCCTATTCCTATGCCCGGTGCCGCCTTTAGTACACGGTATTCAAGCCGTCCTCTTAAGACAGAACATGAATTTTCTCATAGGCTTTTCCGTAGCACTCTAGTATCTGAGTGCTTCACAAACATGAATTCATTTAACTTCACAACTCCACATTTTACAGATGGGGAGCTGAGGGCACAGACAGATTAAGGTCAAAAGTTTCCACTATTTCTGAATGCCTAAACTGAGATGCCTGGCACATAATTTTACAGCATATTTAGGTGTCTGTAGCCCTATATGTGTTCAAAGCACAGCTCCCATTGAGTTCAGTTATAAGCTGTGAGTGCTCAACAATTCTGCAATGCAGACCCCAGGGTCTCAAGTCAGGCGCCTAGAAAATGAGGAACACATAGTTACTGACCACCTTTGAAGAGCTTGGTATGTAGCAAGATATATAGGGTCAACTTATTTGTCCCTCCGTATTTTATTTTTCTTTATGGCATGAGAGAATTGAGAACCTTACTTAGGTCATGTCCATGTCTGCACTGACTTTACAACCAACGGTGGTGTGAGGATAAACTTGAAGTAGCAGCTGTGGGCTGTTCCGGCCACTGAAATCCATGGTCACTCGGCATTTCCATGAGTGCAACTGAGTCTTGAATCTGGTTCAAAGTCCTTGCTCCAAAGAGTTTACCATCTCACTAAAAAGACCATTGAAGTTTCTGAGCAGAAACAAGCTTCTGAAAAATACTAAACTGGTGAAAGATAGACTTTATTTCTATTTGTACAAAGAAACAGAAGCTGAAAAATTTTTTTTTCATTAAACTTTCCAACATGTCAGTCAGGGCCGAAATGGAACATTCGAAATTTCAGACCCAAAGGTAATTTTCCCCCAGAAAGGCTATAAATGACTGATGTTAGGAGTTTGGGGACAAATTCTGCTTTGTTATATACATTAAGTCTGGAGTAATGCAAGTGACTTTGATGGATTTACCCTGGATTTACACTGGTATAACTGAGTTGAATTTGGCCCAGAATCTCTAGATGCAGAATAAAAATATCCATCATGTATCTTACAAACTGTTGGAATGATCTGTTTATATATTAAGATATTATTGTTATGTCTTGCATCGTTTTCCCCACAGCAGCATGTTTTGAGTAGTGAGTTAATTATTCTGTGCTGTGAGCTGATTTCACTTGTCCCTAGAAACAACTGTAGAAACTGGGTTAGTCTTCTGTGTGTGATTGTGCAGTAGTGAGACCAATATAAAGGTGCATTGGGTAAGCAGAGAAATTGGATCTATTTTTTTTTTAAGTAAAGCAAGCTTTTGTTTTCTTTTACTGGAAGAACACATTGTCAATATTTAGTGAAAACGGAACAACCAACCCCCTCAACAGTTGTCCCCTCAGACTCAGTTTATATTTCTGGAATGGTTTCAATTCTGGTGCAGCTTGGAGAGAATTCAGTGTAGTCTTCAATCAAGTGATTTACTGTTATTAACAACGCAGCCTAAAATCATTGTAACCAACACAAGTGCAGGGTATGACTGTGAGGTGCTGTGGTACAGTTCTCCTTGCATACCTGGCATGGTGGTCTGTGTACCATCAGCCTAGAGGCAAACACTGTAGGCACTCCACGATTATGTAATTATTATTGTAGAATCTAGAGTCCTAGTGAAAGACCAGGACTCCGGTGTGCTAGGTGCTGTACGTTATTATGATCACTAATTGTGTGCATTATGGTGGTGCAAGAGCCAACCGAGAATGGGGCCCCATTGTGCTAGGTGCTGTACAGAAACAGTCGTGGCGCTTACAGTCTGAATAGACCACACAGATTGAGGGCAGGGGAAGCGGTAGAACTCCCAAGCAGAGTGAGCAATGTGATGGTAGCAAATGGCATGTTAGTTCCATGATTTTTTGGGGGGAGGGTGGGTTTAGTTAGGCGGGGATCAGCTCGAAGGGAAGGGGCTAAGGGAGACAGAGGGGGAGCAGAAGGTAGGAGAGGCAGGTGTGGAACGAAGCTGAGGCAAAGAGTTGGAGCTGCTCCTATCCCTATGGCTGGAGACTGTGGCTGGCTGCGGTTCTCCCTCAAGGTTGCATAGCTTGGTGGAGGGAAGGCATCGTTTGTATCTTAGTGCCCCCTGCAGTCGGGGCATGATGCTCTAGCCCCTGGTGGCTTCCCATAAACACTTGGAGTAGCAGAGGCTACTTTTACTACAGCTGCCAGAAATAAAAGGTGCAGATGTCCCCAGGCTCAGTGCTTTAACGGTTACAACAAAAAGTCAACCCAGCAGTCCCTCATTCAGCCTCTAGGGGCAGTCCAATCCTGGGGTATAAAGGCAAGAGTCTCCTTGGGATCCCTCCATGCTGAACTCCTGCGGAGGGTAAATCTCTGCCCAGCCTGCCAGTCACAGCTCTTCGGTTGCCCAGACTTTCCTCCGCAGCCGCGCTGCTGCTCTTGCTGTCACATAGCCTCTGGCCGTCTCCTGAGAGTGGTCACCTCTGCCACTTAGGGTGTCGTTCTATTTACCTTTGGCATTACGGCACTCTCTGCTGGCTGGATATTGAACTAGGTAACCCAGGGTCCTCTGCCACCACACTATTGTGCATGGTTAAGCAGTTTCGAATGAGTGATATTCACTTAGAATGCAGTGTTATTCATTTCAGCAAGATGTATAGTGAACAAAAATGTGGGGGCAGATGTCTAATAGTCACAACTGCCTGCAAAATATAGACTAGCCAGCAGCCTCATTCTTAGAGCAATTTCGAGGAGATTCTGGTCATCATGCGCTCCCAGATCTGGCCACTTTGGTGTTAAATAGTTAAAAATGTAATAATAGTGAAAAAATGTAAACAATTATTAGAACTGGATAGGATAAATGATAAACAGTCATAGGTCTTCTTTTTTATATCACTTTCTTTTCCTCAAGATTTTGAAAGGCCCCAGCTCAGAATTAGGCCCAACAACATGCCAAGTGGCTACAATGACTTTTGTGATTTAATTTTTTTTTGCTTTGTAGAAAAAGATTAAATTAAAAGAGAGGAAGAAGTAGGCTTTGTACAATTATTTAGGAGTTATTAATACAGATTTATTGGGAGTCATTACAGTGAACTGTATTAATCTGTTTAAACATGACTGGAAATAAATATTTTAGCAGATTCTAAACTGTGTGTTATTTACCTAGATCACTTCAGATAACATCATGGTCTCATCTAAATCCAGATTCAGACAGTTTTTTGAAAAGAGATTTTCCTTTTTCCCCTTCCCACCCCTATTCCTTTAATTCCTTCCGTGTCTTCTTACTCCAGGAATTACCCCCATATGAGTGTTCATTGTATTTTGAGCTCTCCAGCGTGTGCATGATTTAGATGTGCAAATCAGTATGGTGCATTTGTTGTTGGACTGTTTTTTTTTTTTTTTATAAACTAACAACAAAACAAAAGCAATTTACAATATTCGTATAGGGTGAAATTCACTAGATTTGTGCAAATCCCTCCTCACCGCTTAAACCCTGAGTTTGTGCAAGAGATTGCAAGGGCTTAGTTTCACCCAGTAAGCAATGAAACTACTGTGTGGGGTATACTGCAGATAGTTAAAATATTAAAATGTGATCGGTAGTTACTGAAGGCTCAGTCGGGAGCCTGGCTGTTCTCCCGTATGAGGGAGTAAGGGGGTGGAGTGAGCCACTTTACTGTCCTGTGCTGCATTCCTATGGGCTGCTAATTCTTTTCCCACACAAGTGGGTGGGGAGCAGGGCCGGCTCTGGCTTTTTGGCTGCCCCAAGCAAAAAAAAAAAAAAAGCGGCGGGGCCGGAGCCAGGGTGCAGGGGGACTCCCTGCACGGCAGATGTGCCCCGGCTAGCGGGGGGAGGAGGAGGGAGTGGGGAGGGAAGAGAGAGAAGGAGCGCTGCCAGGGCTTCAGCGGGGCGCTGCCACGCGACCTCGCCACCTGCCGGGAGGGCTCTGCGCTGCTCCGGTCGGCTGGGAGGGAAGGACGCGGGCTGCCTTGCCGGGCTTGCTGCAGGGCGCTCCCGTCCTCCGCGCCGCCGCCCCCTACAGGGCGGCCGGAGCGGAACACCACAAAAAAAAAGAAAAAGAAAAAAAGAAAAAGCGGCCGTGCCGCCCTAGCACTGGGCGGAATGCCGCCTCCTACAAGCTGCCACCCCAAGCACCAGCTTGCTCGGCCGGTGCCTGGAGCCGGCCCTGGTGGGGAGTGGTCTGCCAGGTGTGGGAGCGGATGGAGCCTTAGTTCCATCCCCCTCTAGCGTATTTGCTTGTGCTGCACAGTCACTTTATATCCTGCCCTAGAGCAAGGGGGAGGCAGGGATTGTGAACCTCGGAGTTGAAATCAGATGATTCCTGTCCTGCTTCTGGGTCAGCACAGCTACGCACTGTTGAGCATCATTATAAGGTTACAGTCTGGCCTAAATGTTTTGGAAAAAACTGATACAACATGTCAAAGACTCACCCATAGGCTATGGCTCACATTTTGTTTTTGTTTTGATAACCACTGCATAAGGGAATTTCCAAGTAAAATTAACACCAATCAACAATGTTTTGATGCAAACTGCAATACTGCACATAGTCTCATCCAGTGGGGGGGAAATGTTTTCGAATAATCTATTGTATTTTGTTAGGATAAGCGCAGACTAGTTTTTTAATTTGTATAAGCGATGACTGTTCTTTGAATTTGCTGTTTTTAAAATAGGCACGATGTTCTATTATATATTTAATTTACAGCTTTGAGAACTTTCATGTGTAGTATCTTTGTTTCTGAAAAAACATCTCTTTTGTTTTTTGCTTTTTAGGGGAAAGCAGCAATTTCTCCACCATGGAAACCTCTACAAAGTGATCGTTGGTTTACAAAGGTAGATGTCTTTTCTTTTTTTGCTTCTTTTTAGCATTTTTTTTATACTGTGTTTGTAGACGACTCCAGTTCAAAATATAGCTTAATGCGGCTATGCCATGTGGTTCATGTTAGTAGAAAATGGAACTTATTCCAGAGCAAAGAATGGCCGTTTGGAAATGAGAACCATAAAGCTCAATGAGCATGGACACACCATTTGCTTTTTTGGCAAAGTGGCTGCAAATTTACTGAGCCTTAAAATATCTCCTAAAAGCAACCGGTCCTGACAGTGGTGAATGGGGGCGGAGGGCAAGTGCTACAGATGTCCCCAAATTGTCTAGGCTGTCAGTGCCTCCTCCGCTTTTTTGATTCTCAAATCCATAGCATCCTAACATTTCCTGGGCTTACTAGACCCATCTTATTCCCAGGCCCGAGCAAGCCACTTCATGAAGCAACCACCAGGCCTCATTCAAGTGTCAAATGTACAGGAAAGGGGCATTAACCCTCCTCTGTGCGCTTGTGAGCACCTGCCACTCCTGATGGTTAATTTTATCTCCACGTAGGGAAAAATCTCACCTGTGCTGCTAGCCTTGAATATTGCTGGTGTGCCCCACCAGCAGCCAGGATTTTACCATATTTGCTCCCAACATCCAAGAGATGTATGCCATCTGGGCATAACGGTCAGAGGCAGTTCCGAGCAAGGCTGTCCTGCTTCAACGACTGGTTCCTGGCTGAGTAGGCCAAAAACTCAGACCACCACCACCAGTCTGTCAGGTGTTGCCAAACTGTGTGTAACAGCAGGTCACGTGATACCAGCGCACGTGGTGGAATTGCCTCCTCCGCATAAACTGATCCGTGTGGCTGAAGTGGGCCCCTTTGATGTCTGTCCATGATCATATCAGTGTGCATAAGCAGGGGGAAGATGCTCCACATGCGAGTTGAATGTAGAACTTATTTCAGTGCAAAGAATGGTGAAATATTTGTGATTGAGTGTGAAATAGAGATATTTTATTTTTGATGTTTCTGCAGTTAAGAAATGTGTAACAGCTTCACCCCGTGAGGCTCTTCTGGCATCTGATGGATACTGAGGTGGTTCCTTAGACTATAAAGGCATTTAAAGCTTCTGATTGGACTGGGGAACTCTGCAGAGGTGGGATCATTTGGAGAGGTGGGCCTTGGAAAATATTAGAGGAGAAAGTCAGGGCTGTAATACCCTTGAGCTAATTCTGGTTTGGGGGTTCATTGTGCGGGTGGCTGGGTGGTATTTAGTGACCTGTCACATACAGGAGGTCAGCCTACATGATCTGGTGGTTCCTCCTGGCCTTAAACTCTGACTCTGTGAACATCTAGAAGGATGGGACCTTGCTTGCACCCTTATGCTTGAAGAGGCTCCTTGCAAAAAGTTAGAAAAACGGTAAATGAACAGATGATATGGCTGTGGTGTAGCTGGATCTAGTGCGTTAGCTGTAACTTGTGGTCATTGGGGTTAGTCATTGTAAAAGTGATGTGAATTGTTGAGCATGGTGTCTTCAGTAAACAGGCATAGCTACCTAACAACTTGTAGTGTCAGAGCTATGCATGTATCAAAGGGGTAGCCGTGTTAGTCTGGATCTGTAAAAGCAGCAAAGAGTCCTGTGGCACCTTATAGATTAACAGACGTATAGGAGCATGAGCTTTCATGGGGGAATACCCACTTCTTCGGATGCATGTAGTGGAAATTTCCAGGGGCAGGTATAAATATGCAAGCAAGAGTGAGTAAGGCTAGAGATAACGAGGTTAGTTCAATCAGGGAGGATGAGGCCCTCTTCTAGCAGTTGAGGTGTGAACACCAAGGGAGGAGAAACTGCTTTTGTAGTTGGATAACCATTCACAGTCTTTGTTTAATCCTGAGCTGATGGTGTCAAATTTGCAGATGAGCTGAAGCTCAGCAGTCTCTCTTTGAAGTCTGGTCCTGAAGTTTGTTTGCTGCAGGATAGCTACCTTTAAATCTGCTATTGTGTGTCCAGGGAGGTTGAAGTGTTCTCCTACAGGTTTTTGTATATTGCCATTCCTAATATTTGATTTGTGTCCATTTATCCTTTTCTTCTAGAAGCGTGTGGGTTCTGACACTGAACCATCAAATTAAAATGCATTCGCTGCCTCCTGGCTTCAGCTCCTTTTGGTATCCAGTGTACCCCTACACTGTGCCATGTGATTTCGGGGACTGTTGCACTCTGACCCAATGTGCTCTTGTTGTTGCTTTGTTTGTTTTTAAATTATTAAAATGCTCCCACTGTGATTCTCCTCTGGGCACATGTCCACTTTGCTAAAACAATTAAACACAAAAATATTAACTTACGTCAACCAAAAATAGACTCTTCCTTGGAAATGATCAATTAACATAAACACACCCCGACAACCCTCACAGCAAAAGTCTGAGTAGACAGAGGGAACCGGGTTCTTTCCTGGGGTAGGGGACGTGTAAGTGGTAACTCCCACTGAAGACTCAGGACTGAATTCAGAAGTGATATAATTGCTGGGCTAAGTTACTTATCTGTTGTGGTTAAAACAACTAACTGCAGATGTAAGATAAGATAGGGGAGGCTGCCTTTATTTATTTTTTATTTTTTTACACCCTGCTATAAGTTGCTGTTCTTGCTAAACTCCCTTCTTTTTCTCTCTGGGTGTGAGTTACTCATTTTGCACAGATTGGTGCAGATGGCAGTATTTAGCACTTTACCCATATTCAACCCATTTACTCTGATTGTGTAAACTTAGGCCTGGTCTACACTAACACCCCAATTCGATCTAAGGTACGCAACTTCAGCTACGTGAATAACGTAGCTGAAGTCGACATACCTTAGTTCGAATTTACCGCGGTTCAGACGCGGTCCACACGCGGCAGGCAGGCTCCCCCGTCGACTCCGCGGTACTCCTCTCGCTGAGGTGGAGTACTGCAGTCGACGGCGAGCACTTCCTGGTTCGAATTATCGCGTCCAGACCAGACGCGATAAATCGAACCCGGAAGTTCGATTGCCAGCCGTCGAACTACCGTGGTAGTGTAGACCTGGCCTTAGACCACTGTTCGGGCACATCTGAATTTGGGTATAAGCTTTACACCACATTCTGAAGGTCAACAGACTTTGGGAAAGCAAAGTCCAGAGTTTCTAGATTTACACCAAGTAAATGAGAGCAGAGTTTGGTTCAAGGGCCTTCTGCCAAAAATTCTCTGGCTCTTCCCCCGGAGCATTCAAATCTAGGGGTCTCTAGTGGATAGGGTGACCAGATGTCCCAGTTATATAGGGACAGTCCCGATTTTTGGGTCTTTTTCTTATATAGGTTCCCATTACCCCACACCCCATCCCGATTTTTCACATTTGCTGTCTGGTCACCCTACTAGCGGAACACTTCAGCTAAATCTCAGAGTTGCACGGGGAGAGAAGCAGTTTTTTCAGGTAGCTAACATACTAAAAACATAGGGTACTAAAAACCAAGAGAGACCATCATGAGTTAGTTCCCTTGGTACTCCTTTGTGTTCTTCCGTACTGCTCTCCCTTTTGGAAATGCTGTAGGCCAGTGTCTCCTTCAATACAGAACATTCAGATTCAGTTCTGATAACCATCCCTGCCAATAGATACCGATGGAGAGAAAACTGTACATAAATTTACATGCGGTAGCATTGACATGCCTGTGAGTGGTGTGTGGGCTTTGAATTTCTCTCCTTGGTGTGGAGTCCATGTCTGCCCTTCTCCTCCTGGGCTCAGGGCAGGGAAAGAGTCTGAGGTCCCACTGGCCCAGAGAATAAGTGTTTTTTCTTGCTGGTCATATGTGGAGCCACGGCGTGGCTAGAGAGGTTCTCCACCCACGTGGAGTGTGGGATATAGCACCATGATGCCTGGGGGTTTGCGTTAGAACTAGTTCTGGGATCTAAGGGCTGCACAATCCAGGAGCAGCCCCAATCTTTTGTTTACATAACAGAGAGGAAGGGGGTTTGGGATGGAGACGCACCAGTAATCCCATTTAGCATGTGCAGCAGTGTTGATTGGCTGCCCTTCCATAGAGCAGGTGTGGCAGAATTGGAGAGCTCAGCCGGTTGGAGATGAATTTTTCTGTAGATCAGGGGTTTTCCTTTCATTCCTGTATGGGGGAGGGTAGGACAAAAGGGGGAAGGGGGAAGTCCGTGGGGTTGGCATTTCTGAATAAAATAATGAAAAAACATAACTACACATGGCACCAGAACAACCTCACTGACTTCATTAAGCCCCAAACGCCAGCTGATTTCCTTGAGGTTGTGTGGGGTGTAAGTCAGGGCAGGATTTGGCCCTACGAGGCTTTGTACAGGAAGGCAGAAATTAGGGCAGGCTGTTTTCAGAGGGGAGAAGGCAAAATTAGGGATTCCAACTTCACTTCTTGTGATGAAGGCACAGACGGAGGGAGAGAGCCTAACTTTTGTTTTAAAACATGCCTCCTTTTTTTTTTGTTGGCGCAATTAATTGTGCGACTGTTTCGATATGTATGTACTTGAATTTATGCACAAATCGGGCACTTAGACATCTAGGTTTAAGATTCTGCATCTGCAGTTAATTGTGGCTGCAAAATGGCTTAAGGCTCCTCCAAAAACTGGCCTGTAATATTAAAGGTATTCAAGCTCAATCTGTTTCCTTCATACATCCGAGTGATCTGAGAGAAGACATGACATAAAGCTTATTGAAAAAAAAACAAGAAAAATTCTGCAAATATTTCTCAACTGAAAAGTTCAGCAAAACCGCTCTTCAAACAGAAGGGGATGCAAAATGATATCTCAACTAGGGCTGTTGATTAATCGCAGTTAACTCACGTGATTAACTCAAAGAAATTGATCGCAATTAAAAAATTAATCCTGATTAATCGCATTTTAATCACACTGTGTTAAACAATAGAATACCAATTGACATTTATTAAATATTTTGGATATTTTTCTACATTTTCACAGACATTGTATTCTGTATTGTAATTGAAATCAAAGTATATATTATTTTTTATTACAAATATTTGCACTGTAAA